TTTATATATATATATATATATATATATATATAGAGAGAGAGAGAGAACAGTGAAGTAGGAGGACGACCAAGGGCAAAAATATAAGTGTATGCTAACAAAATATATTAAGAAAGATAATAAATAATTCTAGAAACATACTTCTATAAATAAAGTGAAAAATGATCGAGAACAAAAATGTAATTTCACGCTATAAAAATTTATCAAGAATGATAATAAAAAAATTAAATAGTTCTAGAACATCTTAAGTTTATTGTTATTACCATTAACTTATTTTGTTATTACTTTACTTACTTTTATTGTGATAACCTATTTTATTATTACTCTATTTTACTATTATTTTTAGTTTAATTATTAATATTTTTTCTATTCATTATGCTTATAAAAAGGGGATAATTGTATATATAGCAAATTAATAACCTAAAATAAATGGAGTTGCTAGGGTTTGATTTAGTTGTGCTCCATAGCAAACGTTTGCCAAAATTTGTCAGTCGCCTTTCTCTCAAAAATCTCGCTCGCCACTCTCCCATTCTCGCTTCAATCTCTCGCTCGCTTCCTCACTTTTTATATAAAACAAGTGTATACAAATTGTTTCTATTTGTATAAAACAGAGAAAATTGTATAAATACATATATTTTTGTTCCCCTTTCTCCCCTCTTCCAGATCTCGCTCACAACCCTCGCCTTTCTCACTTATATAAACATAAGCGAAATGTATAAATTGCGTTTGTATTTGTATAAAGCGTGAGAAAATTGTATATACATATGCAAATACATATATTTTCGTCCTATACACTTATAATACAATAAAAATACTCCCCTGTGTGTGTGTGTGTGTTCGTCCTATACACTTATAATACAATAAAAATACTCCCCTGTGCGTGCGTGCGTGCGGGTGTGTGTAATTATTAAATGAGCTTTCATATATTTTTTAAAAAAAATAAAGTGTTTGTCTTCCTTCTATTAATTTGTGCATTTAGGAGTTTTATAGATTTGAACGTTTTAATATAAAATATAACTATTTGAAAACTTTAATTCTTCGTTTTAATTTCTAATTTGTTACATATTTGAAAATTACATAAAAAAGAAGCTTAAAAACGCAGTGTGACAATTTAAGATATTTTTAGAAGAACATAATCAAAACACATAATGAAATTTGGTTGATTCCTTTATTTTTATTGGGAAAAAAAAGTTACATCTTTTGTTTGAAAATAATGTAAGAACTAAAAAGTACTATGAATCACAGTCAAATGACAAATAAAAATATGTGAGTATCATACAAGAAATTTTGTTGACTTTCCAAAAATCACATAAAATAAAACAGATACAGTAACATATATTATTCGAAAATGACACAAAAAGGTATATATATTAACAATTTAAAATATTCTTTAAAAAAACACATATAAAAAAATTTAGTTCACTTTTCAAATTATATTTGTGTCACATAAATTTTTTTTAAAAATTAACATACATTAAACTAGCACTAACGCTTACACATAATATCTAGTATATATATATATATAACTCAAATGTGGTGGAAAATGATGTTTGCCTATATAGTCGAGGGATTTAAGGTGGGGATGCATAGGTTAATTTTGGTCCCAATTGTTAAAAGTTTAAGTTATAAATATCCTTTAAATCTTGGGCGTTCCATATACTGTTATTAATTTGATGATTTATAAATTTAGCTTTTGTTGAAATTATAATAGAATGATAAATATAAATTTTTGATATGAAAGGATTTTACTAAAAAAATTATCTATATTCAAAATTATTCTTTCTTTCTATTCGAATAAGAATTAATTAAATTTAAGTGAGAAATAAATAAGGTTAGAGGAAAAGAAAAAAATATACACGCAACTTTCTTATGAAAATATAAAGGAATTAATATTTGTTATAATGACCCCACCATTTTATAATATTTTTTATTTTTTTAAATATTTATATTGAATAATAAATTTGGACAATATTATTTACTTGATAATATTTTCGTCTTACGAGTACATTATTTAATTCTCCAAGATCTTGTGTCTTATCTTGACGCAATAATTTAAAATTACATAATATTATTCATTCGGTCTTTTTTTTTTAGAAAACATTCATTCGGTCTTAAAATAAGAGTATTTATTTTTGAAAGTCAATTTTAATTTAAATATTAAAAGACAATCTAAAAACTATAAATTGCAACGTATAATGAAATATACTTTAAAATTAAGTCAAAGGCTAAAGAAATTTTGGATATGATCGAGATTTTTTTTAAAAAAAACAAATCATTATAACTTTTTTTTAATTTTTTTTCGATTTTATCTTGACGCGAAGCTTAAAAATTTAAATAAGATTTTTGAATTTTGTGATCTAGAATTAAAATATCTTTTAATTTTATGGTCTGAAACATGTTACTTAAAAATAATTGATCGAAAAAAAAATGTTTTAAAATAAAAA